ACCTGGCCAGGCAGGTGCCTGTCAACTGGAGTGGCACCCCTCCGGGGAGCAGGTGTCGGGGCAAGGACCTGTCCTTCCCCAGTCTTTGGAAGAAGAGGAGGCAAGCAGAGGGGGAGGGTGCCTCACAGGCAGGGGAAGCCGGCTGAGGATTTTGTCGGGGTATTGTCAGCAGCAGGGCAGAAACACCATTGTATTTTAGGGAGGCAATGTCCTACCCTCTGTTGCCCATTAGAATGTCTCTGCTTCTGGGATACCCTCAGCTTGCTAAGAGTTGGGGTTCCAGCATGAGGCATGGCTTTGAAACCAGGCCCCACCACCTACTAGCTGTGTAACTGTGGCCACGCCAATTAACATCCCCGAGCCTCAATTTCCCCATCTGAAACATGGGGACCATGGTGGCACCTGCAGCCCTGCAAGGTCATGAGGCTTGAATGATTTGGGCAGAGCATCGGGCTGCAAGCAGGCATTGGTGTGTGTTGGCTGCTGTCATGACAATATTGATCAGGTTGGTGCAAAAGTAATTGTGGTTTCGGACTGTGAATTTTAAATCATTATAACTGGGCTCAAACACATCTTTATTAACCAAAGTAGGAACCATTATGATCCACACATTTTTGCCACCAAGAAATAAGTTCGTTTATTCCTGTAGCGTAAAAATACCTGCTTCAGGATTTGAAGAACTCTTGGAAAGCATTTTCTGTATCCTGCTGGTTATGGAAGCGTTTTTCCTGCAAGAATTGTAGAGATGCTTGAAGAAGTGGCAGTCGGTTGGGAGGGGTCAGGTGTTCAGGGGATGAGGCAAAACTTCGTAGCGCAATTCGTTCAACTTTTGAAGTGTTGGTTGCGCGACATGTGGTCGGGCGTTGTTGTGGAAAAGAACTGGGCCCTTTCTGTTGCCCAGTGCCGGCTGCAGGCAGGGCACTTCTCCGTGCATCTCATTGCTTTGCTGAGCAGACTTCTCAGGTGTAATGGCATGGCTGTAGTGGATCAGAGCAGTAGCAGACCACCAAACAGGGACCAGGGCCTTTTTTTGGTGCAAGTTTGGCTTTGGGAAGTTCTTGTGAGCTGTTTCTCAGTCCAACCACTGAGCCGATTGTCCCTGGTTGTTGTATACAATCCACTTTTAGTCGAGTGTCACAATCTGAGAAATGGTTTGTTTTTGTGTTGTCTTCTCTTGTATGATGCAACTTCAAAATGATGATTTTTTTTTGATTTTTGGTCAGCTCATGAGGCACCCACTTAATGAGTTTTTTCACCTTCCCGATTTGCTTTAAGTATGGAAGGACTGTAGAATGGTCTACGTTGAGTTCTTTGGCAACTTCTTGTGTAGTTGTAAGAGGATCAGCTTCAATGATGGCCCCCAATTGGTCGTTGTCAACTTCCAGTGGCCGGCCACCGCGCTCCTCATCTTCAAGCCTCTCCTCTCCTTTGCAAAACTTCTTGAACCACCACTGCGCTGCATGTTCTTTAGCAGTTCCTGGGCCAGATGTATTGTTGATGTTGTGACTTGTCTCCCCTGCTGTAAGATCCATTTTGAACTCGAATAAGAAAATCGGGCCGGGCGTGGTGGCTCACGCCTGTAATCCTAGCACTTTAGGAGGCCGAGGCAGGCAGATCATTTGAGCTCAGGAGTTCGAGACCAGCCTGGGAAAGAGCGAGACCCCGTCTCTACCAAAAATAGGAAAAATTAGCTGGGCATGGTGGCACATGCCTGTAGTCCCAGCTACTCAGGAGGCTGAGGCAGGAGGATTGCTTGAGCCCAGCAGTTTGAGGTTGCTGTGAGCTAGGCTGACACCATGGCACACTAGCCTGGGCAACAGAGTGAGACTCTGTCTCAAAAAAAAAAAAAAGAAAATCGTTCAAATTTGCTTTTTGTCTTGACATCATTTCCATAGTCTAAAATAAATATGAAATGAACAGCAAGTAATAGGTCATTAGCAAAAAAACGTAAAGTGAGAAGTGCTCATTAAAATGTTGTATAACATAACCACATTTATTTAAGAATGTATTCCAATATCAAATGGCAAATTTCAACAATGCTAAAAACTGCAATTACTTTTGCACCAACCTAATAGCAGGTGGGGGGAAGACCCTGGTGGGGCCCAGAGGACAGCGAGGAGCCCCCATTTGGAAGTGTCTCTGCCGGAGTCCTCACTGCCACCCTTACCGAGGTGGACAGGTTGGCACATTTGCTAACTGCAGCTCCCGTCCCACAGCACCCCCACCCCGCCGCCAAGGACACGTGCCAGCCTCTGCCCACCCCAGCTTCTGGCTCTGCGTGAGGGTGGTCTTGTGCAGAAATGACTGGCAGCACGGAGGCACTCGGGCAGCTGAGGGTGGGGAAGGGATTTCCCTTAATGACCCAGGAAGACGGATGTGGCCACACGTGGCTCCTTGGGAAGAAATGCCGCCAGGCAGATATCCGTGTCCCAGACCCCAAGGAGCCAGACCTGTGTGGAGGGACAGGGACTCATGCACCCCTGTGCCCAGTCCAGAGACTGCCAAGGCATCCTCCAGCCTGCGCTGGGAGGTGGCTATTTTTAGGCCATGCCTATTGTGTCCTGTTGGCCCTCCATGCTCTAGGCGTCGAACTCCTGAGCTCAAGCCATCCTCCTGCTTTAGCCTCCCAGAGAACAAGGACTATAGGCCTGAGCCACCGCGCCCAGCTGAGCCTGAGGTTTAGTCATACCTGAGACAAACGGGTCAGGGCTTATGAACTTTTGGTTAAAAGCAGGTGTTTCTCTCCTCCTGAGGCTTTGCCTGGGGTGTGGGGGCTTTGCTGGCAGTGAAGCCCCTGACCAGGGTCTTTGGGAGGTATAAGGGGGGGTGAGTGCTGGCTCCAAAGCCCCTATGCAGGTAGGTCTGCAAATAAGGACCAGAGTGAGGGGCTCTGCACTGGGAGTCAGGATCCTAGGGAGCTATGCAACCCTGGGCAAGTGGCTTTCCCTCTCTGAGGCTCAGTTTCCTCGGCTGTAAGGGAGGTGACTCCTGGTCACTACATCTCAGGGTAGTCAGGGAGATTAGCCAAAGTGTTAGATCAAAAAGTGATGTTGGCTCTGGGAGGCCGAGGTGTGAGGATCGCTCAAGGTCAGGAGTTCGAGACCAGCCTGAGCAAGAGCCAGACCCCCATCTCTACTGAAAATAGAAAGAAGTTAATTGGCCAACTAAAAATATGTAGAAAAAATTAGCTAGGCATGGTGGTACATGCCTGTAGTCCCAGCTACTCAGGAGGCTGAGGCAGGAGGATCACTTGAGCCCAGGAGTTTGAGGTTGCTGTGAGCTAGGTTGATGCTATGGCACACTAGCCTGGGCAACAGAGTAAGACTCTGTCTCAAAAAAAAAAAAAAAAAAAAAAATGATCTTGGGAGCTTTAGAGGTAGCCGACATGAGAATAGATGGTGGGGGGTCAGGGCCAGGTCAGGCTACCCTGGAATGTTGGTGCCTGTCCCATTTTCATGTCCTCTGGACAGCTGTGACACAGACCCTCCTGGGCATCTGGAAGGCTCCTGGGCTGCTCTATGCTCAATGATGAAAAGAATAATTCTCAGCTGGCTGCAGCATGGAGGGACTGACGTGGAGGTGACTGAGTGGTGAGGCCTCTTGCTGCAGCTGTGTGATAGGTTTGTGAGCGGAAGGTCTGGGAGGGAGACAGTCTGTGAGCAGCCCGTGTGACCAGCGTCCAGAACAGAAATAGGCTGGCGAGATGCGCGTGGTGGCAGGTGCACCAGACGCCAGCTGAGCTCCTCCACCTCCTGTTTGGGCCAGCTGTGCTCTGGACAAGGAAGGCAGGTGGTATCATACCCATTTCACCTGGGAGCAAACTGAGGCACAGGAGCTTAAAGGTCAGAATGACAGGTTCATGCTAGAGCCCCAGCTGGCACTGAGCGCATTCAGGCTTCCAGGGTTTCCTGGGTGCCTCTTCTGGGCCCAGCCCTGGGGGCCCTGGTGGCCAGGGGCTTACAGCCCACTGACCACTCTGAAAGCTTGTGGGGGTGGTTCCCACCTCCATACCCTGATGCGTGGGCCAGCCCGGGGAGCAGCTGGGCTTCTTGGAGCCCTGCTTGCACCCCACCCCCCGCCTGTCCCCGCCGAAAGCAGTGGTTCTCCACCTTGCTGTGAGTGGGGCCACCCGAGTCCTGCACGATGGGGGCCCGTCCACCCCCGCCCTTTCCCCCTCACTTATGCCGGCCACACTGGCCTCCTTGTCATCCCCGAACCCACTGCCATGTCTGCCTTGGGCCTGTGCTCACCTTCCCTCTGCCTGGGCTGCTGGGGCCCTGGCCTGCTTCCTCTCACCCTGAGAATCTGCTCAGCTCTCCCCTTCCCCACGGAGCCCACTCTGATCCCCTCATGCAACTGGCAACCCCAGGCCCCCAGCCCACTCTGCCTGGGTGATGGGGGGTCCCGGGTGACGGGGGTCCTGGGCAATGTGGGGCTGGGAGTTGGGGGTCCCGGGTGATGGGCATCTGGGTGATGAAGGTCCGGTGACTGAGGGCCTGGGTGATGGGGGGTCCTGGGCGATGGGCCAGGTGATGGGGGTCCCCATGCTGGTGTACACTCTGACCACAGAGGAAAGGGGGCTGCCTCTGGCATTGCAGGGACCCAGCACAAAGTTGGGGGTCTCTCCTCAAATACCCCCTCTTTCTGAGGCTGGGTGGGTAAATGGGGGAGAGGACATCGGGGTCCCTGCCCTCTGCGGGGGTCCCATGGAAACATCCTGCTGAGGGGAGAACACTGCCCATGCTCAGTTCTGGATGAAAGACCCAGCCTGCTAGAGGAGGAGGAAACACAGTAGTGTCACCTCGACCCTGCTGGGTGGCAGTGCCAGCCCTGGGGGTGGACCAGGTGTCCTCACATGCACTGTCCTGTGTGGCTTCTCCTCAGGGCTGCCCAGTGACAGCCACATGCGATCCCAGAGGAAACCGCCCTTCCTCTCTTGTATGAGACAATGGCCCATGTGTGCCCAGCAGTGAGAGGGCATCTCTGTATGTCCCCTGCAGGTCCTGGCGGGCCTGGAGGTGTCCATGCCTCCCCTCGCTGTTGCTGAGGAGGTGCAGTGCCAGGCAGAGCTGGGCCACACGGGCCTTGGGCAGGGTGGCTCCGATCACCCCGAGGGAAGGTTCTGGAAGAGACTGTGGTCCATGGGCAGCAGCAGGGGCTCCCAGGAGTGGCCAGAGCCTGCCCACCCACCATGCTGCAGTGCAGACCGGCCCAGGAGTTCAGCTTCGGCCCCCGGGCCCTGAAGGACGCCCTGGTCTCCACTGACCCGGCCCTGCAGCGGCTCTACGTCTCCACCTTCTCCCCCGCCGAGAGGCTCTTCCTGTCCGAGGCCTACAACCCCCAGAGGACCCTCTTTTGCACGCTGCTCATCCGCACGGCCTTCGACTGGCTCCTGAGCCACCCTGAGGCCCCTGAGGACTTCCAGACCTTCCATGCCTCCCTGCAGCACAGGAAGCAGAGCCTGGCTCGGAAGCACATTTACCTGCAGCCAATAGGTATGGGGGGCCAGGCCATCGGGACCCTCCTGGAGGGACCAGTCCCGTAGATAGCACAAGGGGGCCTCTATGCAGGGGGTGCTCTGTGCAAGGGCCTCCAGGTCAGAAAGAAGGTGCTGGATGTGTTCAGGACTCAGGGCTGGAGGTGGGAGGCCCCGGGGCTATGGGACCGTTCTGCATGCAGGTGCTGCCTTGTCCAGATGTGAGTGGCCCTGGCCACATCTGCCGAAACCAGTGCTGTGTCGGGCACTGTGCCATGTGTTTATGAGATCACTTCCCCTTTGGGGATTGAGAGTAGGGTTGGCCTATTGCACAGGTGAGACACTGAGGCTGGGAGAGGTCACTAGTAGAGGCAGGACTGGGCGCAGGTCCGTGTGATCCTGATGCTGGGCTGGGCACAGTGGGGACCTGAGGGTCCCAGTGTGGTCGCTGTCCTCCAGAGCTGTTTGTCTGGCAGAGACTGGGGGACACAGAGTGGGCCAAGGGCTGAGGCCCCATGGGGAAGGGCTCTGCCAGGTGCAGGGAGCAGGAGGGGCTGGGCCGGCTGCTGTGTCTCTCAGTGTGCCAAGGGCAGGGTGGCAGTGGCCCAGCAGAAAAGGCATGCAGGACATGTGGCACTCAGCTGGAGAGGAGGAAAGGGCTGGCATTAAGCTTGAGATACCGGCACGCCACACTGCACCCCTGGGGCCCCATCTCACAGCGAGCCGGAGGAGGGCAGGACCTCGGCTGGCACGGGCTTGTCGCCAGCCTCATGGTCTGTGTGGCCCCCTTTCTGCCCGTTGGGACAGAGTCCCACAGGTGTCCCTTGGTCTCACTTTGCGTCACCCTGCAGCCAATCTGCTGTCTCTGCCTCCTAAATTGCTTTGGAACCATCCACTTCCCTCCACCTCCCTGTGGACAGCTCAGAGCTGCGCAGACACGTGGTGTCTTGTCCAAACGTAGGTCTGGGCTCCGGGGCCCGGATGTGCATTCCTAAGCAGCTCCTGGCGAGGCCAGTGCTGCTGTGACCACTTCCTCACTGGTCTCCTGCCCCCACCCTTGGTCTGTGTCCACCTGTCCTCCCAACATGTGCTTTGGTGGGTCCCTCCCTCCGTGGCTCCTCCCAGCCTGAGGGGCCATGCCAGCTGCACCTGCACCCCTCGTCCTCTCTGCTCCAGCCGGGCTGGTGTCCCCGCCATTGACTGACTTGCCTGCTCTGCCAGCTGTGCCCACCTGGTTTGGAGTCCCTGCCTTGGGATTATCCAGCCCTGCGATGGGCCCCTCCGCCCACTCCTTCCTGAGCACGTGTGTGATTGCGACTAATGCCCTTTCATCTAGGCATTGGCTTTCCTTCCCTTTTTTGCCCTTTTGGAAAAGCCACGCTTGCTGTCTCTCTGCCCAGGAGGGCAGGTCCATGTTGGTGTCCTTTAGCAGCTGGCCATGCCGGCAGGGCTCCCGGGAGATGGACCCGGGAGGGTGGGAGCCCAGTGGGCTGACAGTGCTGCTCTGCCCCCAGATCTGAGCGAGGGGCCGGTGGGGGGATCCCTGCTGGACAGCCTGCGCAGCTGCACAGAGGCCTTCTTCCTGGGCCTGCGGGTCAAGTGCCTGCCCTCGGTGGCAGCCGAGTCCATCCACTGCTCCTCGCGCCCCAGCCGGGACTCCGACAGGCTCCAGCTCCACACTGGTGAGTGAGGATGGGGCACGGTTCAGGCCAAGGGAGACCGGGCCCACACCACTTAGCAAAAAGGCCTTGCCAGAGCCTGGGGGGAAAAACTTTTTTTTTTTTGGTGGGAAACATCTATTTCCTGGTCTTTTGGAAAAGAGGACTGGAACAAGGAGTTCCTTTCCCACCCAGAAAAGTGTCTGGGACTTGACCATACAGCTCAGCATCCACTGGAAACTTCCAGAGCATTCACAGCAGGTGAAACATGCCCTTTTATGGCCACTCAGCATCTCTCCTGCCTTTTGTCTTGGTATTGGTATTGGTATTTATGTGTGTCTAGAAGACCTCTACCCCCAAACCCCTGCCCCTTCCCTGCCGGTTACTGGCAGCTTGAGAGAGTAAGGCTGGGTTGAGAGGTATAGATGGACTGAAGGTTCTCAGATGGAAAGGAGACCCAGGCTCAAGTTTAGGGAGGTCCCCAAGAAGGGGCCGGGGTTCTGCTCTTGTTTGGCTGACACTGGGTAGGGAGTGAGTGGATGGACATCTTCCATCAGATCTGGGAAATTCTCAGCCATTGCCTCTTTTTTCCAAATATCACCTCTGCCCCATCCTCTTTCTCCTCTCCTGGGACTCCAGTTGGATGTATATTAATCCATCTTACTTTCTTTTCTGTACTTTTTTTCTCCTCTGTATTTCTTTTTTGAACATTCATGCTTTAGTCTGTTGGTTCTCACCCTCTAGTTTACTAATTCTCTCTGTAGCTGTATCTATGGTGCTCTTGAGTTCTTATTTCAGTGGTCATATTTTTCAGTCCTGTAGTTTCTAGTGGATTCTTTTTCAAATTAGCAGTGTCACTTTTTTAATAGTTCCCAGTTCCCTAATTTTTTTTTAAGTTAAGCATTTATGTCCATGAACATATTTGCTTAACAGTCTGTGTCTGATGACTCCTCTATTTGGAGTGCCAATGTGGCTGTATTTGTTATCATGGCTCATTGTGTGCCTTGTTTTTTTTTTTTTTTTTTTTTGTTGTTGTTAGCTGCACATCCTATTTGAAAAATTAGTTTAACTTCTAGAAGAATCTGTGGCCTGGGGTGACAATTTTGTTTAGAGGGTATTTTCTTTTCCCTGTACCAGGCACTTAAGGGCTGACTATCTGGGACAAAGACATGAAACTTTCATGCCAGTCTCATGATCCTCAGTCTAGCATCCCTCCCAGGGTGTGACACTTTGGGGGGCAGCAAGAGTGGGGGGCATGTTATTAGGGTCACCCCGACCACTCCTCTATCTCAAAAACAGCACAGTGTAATCTCTTTGAGCTCTAAATCTCATTAAGTCTCTGATTTACTTAAAGTCATGTTTATGGAAGTATAGTTTAGATAGTAAAATTCTTCCTTTTAGTGTACAGTTCTTGAGTCGTGACAAATGCATAGGCCACATAGCCATTGCCATACATAGGACAGCTCAACACCCCCACCCAGCTTGTTGGGTTATCCTTTAGTGGAGGGTTGGTTTAAATTCCCTAGTGTATCTTTATGGGGAGCAGCTGGTGTGGACAGTGGCGCCCTGGCATCCCACAGGGGCACATTCCTTTTCCATGTGCCGGTCTTCAGGTTTGGTCACTGTGAGAACCAATGGCTCACTGGGCCACAGCCAACACTCCACAGGCTTCCCCTGCCCCTGAGGGTCTGGCTGGGGCCCCGAAACAGAACCTGTCTCCACCTCACCCCCTCCCCGCCATAGGCGGTGCAGTCACAGGTGGTATCGCTTCTCCCTGACTGGCTTTCTTGAGAGATGCAGGGACATCATGCCTCTGTCCCATCCACACTGAGGACTGTGGTCCCTCAGAGACACCCAGCACTGAGTCCCACAGGGGTCTCTCCTGGGCTTTCCACCCCCACTGCTTAGCGAGTACTGCTAAGCCCACAATTCGGAGGAGGCATGGAGCCCTAGAAAGCTTTCAGGAAAACAACTACTGGAAAGGAATTGGGCTCAGGAAGGTTCAAGAAGCAGGTAGAACCCAGAGCTATGTGTGGTTGCATGCCTGTGGTCAGATTAGCTGAGTTTAGATCACTGTATTAGTTCCCTGGGACTGCCGTGACAAAGTACCACGGACTGAGCTTAAACAATGGAACATTCTTGTCTTGCAGTTCCAGGGGCCAGAGGTCTGAGGCCCTCTGGGGACAGGGCCTTCCTGGCCGCTTCTGGCGGTTGCTGGTGACCCTTGGCCTCCCCTGTGTGTCTCTGGTCTTCTTATAAGACACTGTCATTGGATGAGGGCACACCTTAATGACCTCATCTTGACTTAATTACATCTACAAAGACGCTATTTGAAAATAGGGTCACCATTACAGGTTAGGACTTCAACGTATCTTTTTTGGGGTCAGAATTTCATCTATAACAATCATCGTCGTCACCTTCATAGTAAAAATTCCCTGGCCAGTCCTCCAATTTAAAAGTGTTAGTTACATGTTATAATATTTTGGATACATTAGGTTAAATGAAATTTATTAAATCAATGTAATCTGGTTTTTTACTTCAAAATTGGGGAAATTTAACATTTCAGTTTACAGGTGCTGCATTTCTGTGGGCCAGGGATGCGGCATTTCTGCTATCAGATTCTAAGCACCTTACCACAAGGCCCCTCCCGTGTCTGCAGCCCAGTCTCGCTAGTGCAGGCTCTGATAGCACTTTGACCTCTGGAACTCCACTGTCCCTTCCCTGCCTTGTCTCAGTTGTCACCTCCCCAGGCTGTGACTTCATGGTTCTTTATAATCATGCCCTGGTATACCCTCCTCCCCTTTTGACACCCAACCCCATGTGGCTGAACACAACTGGAGGGGTCTCTTTGCAGATGCATGACCATGAGCCCGAGGGGCCTTGGTGTGTTCCCAGTGGTCCCTGGCCTTCCCGCCTTCTCTCCTTTACCTGCTTCTCCTCTTCTTTTCTGGTTCTTTTTGCTGAGGAAATTCAAACAATCAAAGGAGAACTTCCATACCTTCCTCCCACCTGCCCCCACCTGGGCTCCCACTTGGCCTCCCCTCCTCACTGTTGGACACCCGGCTCCTTGTCAAGGCCATCCCACCAGGGTCCCCACCCCGTCTGCTCACAGGTCCTGCTCCTACACCCTTCCTCCTCCTGTGTCACACAGGCACTGACATTCCCCATCTTACTAATAAAAACCTCTGCCCTTGTGCCCGCAGCTCCCACCCCACTTATCTGTTCCTTTTTATAGCAAAACCCCTTGGAAAATGCTTTTCTCTGCTGGTGGTCTCTGCCCTACATGCCCTCCCTCTGCTGTCACACCAAGGCCACCCTGTTGGCAGGGCTGATTCCTTCCAGAGGTGCTGGGGAGAATTGGTTTCCCACTTGTCCTTTCCCCCTGCTAGGGGCTCCCGTGTTCCCGGGCTGGTGGCCCCTCCTCATGCTCAGAGCCAGGGTGGTACCTTCAGTCCTTCACCCTGGCCCAACTCTTGTGAGGACATGTGACTGTATTGGGCTCACCCGGGTAATCCGGAATCATCTCCCATCCCAAGACCTTTGATCACAGTGCTGTCCCTTTCCACACGTGGGTTGTGAGCATCTCTGGGGCCATCACTCAGCAAAGTGGCAGCCTGTCCCTCCCCAGCACCACTCACTGGCCAGCTGCCTCTTGAGCGACCCCATGTGGCTGCCGATGGGATCTCAGACCTGCCAGGGTCAGGCCAGCTCTCCTGATGGTTTGGGAAGTGGAGTTCCTAAGAAGTGACACCATCCCAGTGCCCCAGGCCCGTGCCAACATCTCGACTTTAGCCCAGGGGACTCCTGACCCACAGAACTGGGCTCGCCGGTGGTCGTCTACGCCCCCAGTCCGTGGTAACTTGATAGAGCAGCAGCAGGGACCAGTATCGGTGCTGGGATCATGAGGGTGGCTGAAGCCCGGAACAGGCCCAGTGGCTGACCTGGGCAAGGATGACATGGGGAAACAAGGAGCCCGTGGGTGGAGGGTGGTGGAGTGGCCACGGAGGCCCAAGGAAGATCAGGACGTGGCCTTGGAGTGACATGGATGACGGGGAAACACGGAAGCCCGTAGGTGGAGGGTGGTAGAGTGGCCACCGAGGCCCTCCACCTGGTGCAGCTTTGAGTTCTTGGCCTCAGATCAGACGTTGCTGGCTCGAGACTGACTGTGGGAAGGGGCTGGTCCTGATGGAGGAAGAGGATGACAGGGTTTGCCTGCTGGGAGCCAGGGCTGGAAGCTGAGGTCCCCAGCTGACTCCTGACTGTCCCCGGCCCATCTCCTCAGACGGCATCCTATCCTTCTTGAAGAACAACAAGCCAGGTGATGCGCTGTGCGTGCTGGGCCTCACGCTGTCCGACCTGTACCCCCGAGAGACCTGGAGCTACACCTTTGGCAAGTTCCTTCCAGGGCACGGTGAGCCTCCTGCCTGGGAGGGAAGCTGGCAAGGCTCCTCAGCCTCTGCGCCCCCCACAGGGCAGGGCACCCTCCCGGGGAGGGCATGTGTGTGTCTGGAAATAGCTGGGGGCCATGCCTCAGGCCTGCTCTCTGCCCTCACATGGACACGCTGGCAGGGCAGGGCCTCCCAGGCCTTGCGGGTCCTCAGGCTGTGGCCGGGTGGCAGGAGAGAAGGCGGTGCGGTTGGTGGTGGGCTCCCTAGAGCCCAGGCTGCCCCCTGAGCCCCCTTGTCTCTGCTTCTCCCCAGAAGTGGGCGTCTGCAGCTTTGCCCGGTTCTTGGGGGGATTCCTGCAGTCGGGGCCCAGCGCCCCTGACCAGGCGGAGGTGGCAGCAGATGGCCCTGAGATCCCCCTGCAGGACAGAGGCTGGGCCCTGTGCTTCAGTGCCCTAGGGATGGTCCAGTGCTGCAAGGTGGGCTCGGTGGCTGAGGGCACTGCCCAGGGGCCCGGGAAGATGGCATGGGTGGAGGGAGAAGGGCTGGGAATATGGAGGACGTGCAGTTGAAGGACTGAGTGTAGACGCTGGTTGAGGGCGTCTGTGTCTGGCCAGTTGCATTGTCCAGTCCTCACTGTGAAGAGGACGATCCCCTAATGTGATAGCGTGATGAGGAAGCAGGGCTCAGAGATGCCATGTGTTTTGCCCACGGCCACATAGCTATGAAGTGACAGAGTTGGGATTTGAGCCCGAGTCTGTCTAGCTTCCATGGAGCCAGCCACACCAGTCCACCTTTTTCCCTGTGGCCCCGCATGGGCCCTTGCGTGTGGCTGGGCCAGAGCTGCCAGCGGCACCCCGTTGGCTGCTCTGGGGCAGGGGGCAGTGGGGGCACTTCTGAGGCTCTGCAGGGATTGGGGTGCAAGGCAAAGGCAGTGGTGACTTTCCCCCCAGGTCACGTGCCACGAACTCTGCCACCTACTTGGCCTGGGGAACTGCCGCTGGCTCCGCTGCCTTATGCAGGGTGCGCTCAGCCTGGACGAGGTGCTGCGGCGGCCGCTGGACCTCTGCCCCATCTGCCTGCGGAAGCTGCAGCACGTCCTGGGCTTCAGGCTCCTCCAGAGGTACAAGGTGAGTGCGCCGCCTGCTGCGGCCACACGCACCCCGGAGGCTGCGCGTAGAAGCCCGCGAGCGCCACCTCGAGGCCAACTGGCAGAAGGACAGCCCCAGGGCCAGGGGCTCATCCTCATTTCTGGGAAAGATTTGTTTGCAAACTCAAACTGAGTTCAGAGTACAAAGGCAGGTGGTGGTTATTTTTCTTTAAACCCACCTTTAGATGAAAACAAGTTAGTTAAGTTTTCATTGAATGAAGGCACGAGAGCTATCAATGAAATAGCTTCAGCTTAATTTTAAAACTGTAAGTTTTAAAGGAACCTCTCTGTGTGCAGTTCCGGGCAGCCCCTGCCTCTTTGAGGCTGGACTGCAGAGCGGCTGGTTTCTGGGGTAAGACAAAGGCATGGTTCCCAGGCCAGCTAGTCAGATGCCCTCATTCCCGCCTCTGGGCCGGAGAGTCTGCACTTTGCACAGGCTCACAGGTCTGGCCCCCCCAGCTGAGGAACCTGAGATGGAGGCCAGGGCATCTCCAGGTCACAGAGCTGCCCCATGTGGCTCTTCTCTGAGTGACCCTGGGAGAATGCCAAGGGCGTACCTCGGAGATGCCTCGCCCCCCCCCCCAGTTGGAAGGCCAGAGGCAGCCTGGGCTGGGGGTGGAGCACGTGGCTCATCTGCCAAGGCTAGCTGCCTGCCATTACCCTTGTGCCCAGTCAAGGGCAGCCCTTGGTGTCCGCACACGTCTGTGTGGACGGCTTGCTCTGCAAAATGGGTTAAGATTTCTCACTTTTTGTCCTTCCCTTGGGGTCTTGTTCAACTGTCTGACATGAGCTGTTGTAACTTTTATACACCCCCTTGCACACCCCAGCCAGGACTGTGCCTTCCCCGATTCCTAACCTGGTGACCAGTCCCTGATCCATCCTGGATCTGAGGGGGAGGCAGCTCCTCTTCTGCAGGTGCCACCTTACGTGGCCGTGGAGGGCTCTCTGGGGGAAGAGCTGGGATGAGGCACTCCAGGGTGGCCAAGCCTGTCCAAAGGGAGAACTCTGGAGACCCAAGAGCACCCTGGGCCTTCCTGGCTATTGTGGGAAGTACAGAGGAAGGGTCACCTGCTGTCATGTACAGCAGTCAGTGAAATGTCCTCTCTCAGAGCGAGTCCTGTCTGTGGTGTCCGCCCATTGCTGTGGTGTAAACCACGGCTGATCTCAGCCACCAGCGTGTCACTGAGCGCCCAGGTGGGAGGAGGTGTGCGGTGGCCATGGTTACGCAGCATGTCCCCCACACAGATCAGATACTGGAGATGAGGGTAACCTTAAAGCACAGTAAAATGTAGAAAATATCTAGGAAATGAGGAGTGTTGAGTACCTTTGCTTTAAAAACTTTTCATTATGAGCTTTATACAATTTAACTTTGAATGGTGGCTGGGTTAACAACTAGCTTTTGAAGGTAGCTCCTAAAAGGTGAACTCAGGCCCTTGTGAGCAGGCACATCTGCCTCTGGCACAGCCCGGACTTCAGTCCCCAGAGGCTGCTGGCCGGCAGAGCCCCTGGGTAGCTGACAACGTGGGTCCCCTTCAGTAAGGAGCTGGGTCTCCTGCTGGCTCCTGGCTAGACACGTGCCGGGCAGAGAGAACTCAGCCTGTGTTTCTCCCTCTTAGAGACTCCACGCCTGGACTCGGGTGGTGGCAGGGACGTGGCCCAGCCAGGAGTTGGGGGAGCCGTCTGTGTCGGAGGACAGCCCGCCCGTCAGTGCCGACTCGGGCATGTGCTGCGAGAGCGACTCGGAGCCGGGCAGCAGCCTGTCGGAGCCCCTCACGCCCGATGCCTGCAGCCATGCCTGCTCGCTGGGGCCGGAGCTGGAGCCCGAGGATGGGCTGAGCTCCCTGGGGGCCTCAGAGGCCCCACCGCTGCTCGGGGGCCCTGCAGAAGCCATCAAGGAGCACGAAGGGTGGCTGGCCACGTGCATCCAGGCCCTGGAGAGGGAAGGGGCCGAGGAGGAGCTGGCGCGGGTGGACCAAGCTGTGGATGCCCTTGACCGGTGGGAGATGTTCACAGGGCAGCTCCCAGCCAGCAGGCAGGACCTGCCCTGTGGCCGAGACAGCGTGGGGCTGCGCAGGGTGCTGGGGGGCACGTTCTCCTCCCTGAGGCGGCGACTGAGTGCTCGCAAACTCTCCAGGGCAGAGTCTTCCCCCTGCCGCCGGGAGGGAGAGGAGGACTAGCACAGCATGGGCTGTCCTGTGGCTGTCACTGTCCAGTGTCAAGGGTGACGTGGACACACCGGGGATTAATAGGAGAGGTCCTCTCAAGGAGCTGCCACAGGTCTGTCTTGAGGCGGCTCTTTTAGCATGTGTCCTGCCAGCAGCCCCTGCTGGCGCCTCTCATCGAGCACATGGCCGTGGCTGTGCGTGGATGGAACCTCTTCGCCTGCAGGAGGGAGCAGGTGCGCCCTCTCTCCTTCCAGGTGGGGCGGTTGGGCCTGCTGAGTCGTTCGCTTATTTACGGCCAGAGTGCTAAGGGTGGCAGTCCCAGGTGCTCAGACAGGGTGGCCTGGGGGCAAGCAGGCTCTGCTCCTGCAACCCCTGCTAAGGTTGTACAGTTGGTCTCTACTCAAAGGGGAAGTGACGGAGTTTTCTCTCTAAAGTGTCAAACACACACACCCAGGGCCACTTTCTGTGGCACTAATGGCTCTGGTCCATAAGCACCTCTGTGAAAGTTCTGGAGAACTGGCCCACTGTTGCAGGAAAGGCAGGTATCTAACAGTGTATGTGCCCCAGAGGCCACCTTAGTCCCAGGCTGCTGTTGGTTGTCACTTGAAGCGGTGAAGATAAACAGTGGTGTGGTGTTCAGATCATCCGTGTCTTTACGGGCTTTTGTCTAGTTTTGCCAATGGCTGTGGAATCGTCTGTTTGCCTTTAATTCTGACAAGCTTTGCTTCATGTATTTCAAAGCTCTTTTATACCATACACATTTGATATGTTTCCTGGTGAATTGACCTGTTTATCATCGTAAATGTCCCTGTCTGCAGTGCGAGAGTCCCAGGGAGAGAAACTTCCGGCTCTGACAGCAGAAGCCTTTCAGAGTAGGGGGGTGGGCCACGGCTCTTTTCCCATCGGGGAAGAGGCAAGAACTGGGTAGGTTGTAGGTTTTGTGGGTGGGTAGCTTATACAGTTTGGGGGCCTTCTGAAGAAATCTAAAATATAAATTTAAAAGCCTCTTAGTTCCAGAAAATGCAAAGGGATGAGTACACATTGAATTTTAAAAAGGGCCTCACTCTGTTAATCAGGCTGGAGTACAGTGGTGCAATCATAGCACACAGCAGCCATGAACTTCTGGGCTCAACCATCCTCCTGCCTTAGCCTCCCAAAGTGCTGGGATTACAGGCATGTGCCACCACACTCAGCCTCCCTGAATTTAGAAAAGATGCAGCTCAGAAATAGTATTGTACCTTTTCAGTGCCCCAGCTCTTTCCTGTGACCTGGGAGGTGACTGTGATAGAATGCAAAGGAGAAGAGCCAGGCCATTCTAAGAGTGGCCATGGAAGATGCCAGCAGAGTACAATATAGTAACAGAAGACAAAGGCCAATGCTGGTGTCTGTTATTGCAAACAGGCCACCCCAAACTTGGTGGCTTAAAGCTACAACAATCTGTTTAGCTTATGGATCTGTAATTTGGGCAAAGCCTGGTAAGGAAGGTTTGCCCTGGGACTTAGCTGAAGGGTCTGCCTCTGTGATGGTTTGATCTCGTGGCTGCTGGCGGAAGTTGGCCAGGGCCTCAGGCCTTGGTTCCTGCCCACGAGAACCCTGCTGTGGGGCCTGGGCTTCCTCACAATATGGCGGCTGCTGTCCCAAGGTGGGCATCCTGAGTGTCAGATGGAAGCTCTGTGGCTTTTCATAACTCGGTCTCAGAAGTTGTAGAGCCTCACTTCTGTCACACTCTATTGAGGCAGTCACAAAAGGCCACCCAGTTTCAGGGCAGAGACACAGATTCCATCTCAGAATGGGGACGTGGCGCGAGCATGTTCTGGAAGAGAACATGAGATAGGAAAATACTGTTGTGGCCATGAAAAATCTGCTCCAGTGTTTGCTGCTTGGATTTGGCTCCCACACCTGCTACAGAAACTTACGTGTTTTCCAATTTCCTTCTGTCTTCAGCAGAAGGTTAATCACCGAATGCCATAAGATTAAACAGAGGTAACCACAACCCGAACAGCCTGGCTCGGCCTGAAGAGGTGGTGGCTCATTGGGGTCCCACACCTGCCAGGGGATTGTTATCAAGTCCTTAGCACTGTCTCGCTGTGCCCATGGCCTTTGGCTCCCAACTGTGATGAGTGCCCCCAAAAATGTTTTGAAGTGAGAGGGAACAAACCACTAAAAATAGAACTTTTATCCACAACCTTTACCAGTTGCAGATGGGAGTGAAATTTTTTAAGATAGCTGCTGGGAGACACATTTTAAAAATAAAACATTTAGGAACAGAGATCAAAGTTTCCTTTCTCTGCTCAGATCCTAGCCCCAGGTCCTGTGCATGATGAAGGGGAAGAGTAATGTGGGACAGCCACAGCAGGGGTAGTGGCGGGGAAATGAATGCTACCTCTCCTAGTGACATCACAGTGCGGGGGCCGCTACACTCTGAGCTGAGACAGGGCCCAGCCAAACACTGTGAGAGTTGAACTGAGCTAGAGATAACCGTTTCCAAGAAATAAGGAGCCTTCTTTTTGATTTAAAAAAAATGTGCAAAGTCGACTTCCTCCTTGTCTGTCAAAAGTCCAAGGTTCGTGAGGACGGGTCTTCTAGCTGGATGATGGCCCCTCTTCTGAGAACCTCTCACGTCTCAGTAGCCAAGTCAGAGGAGCTTGAATGGAGCTAAAGATATTTTTAGGGTCATGACGCCTATCATCTGCATAACTGCAAGCACACGAGATGGGGCCAGGGGAGGTGCCACACGCCTTCCACTGTAGCTGCAACGCTCACCCGTCACAGCCACGTTCTGAGGAGGGATTGAGAATCAGGGACCCATCTAAGAGGCAAACACCTCTTCGGGCAGCCCTGACACCCCTCTCCCCTGGCCTCCCATTCATGCCCACCTTCCTCCTAAAGCCCAAAGCCATCTGACTCCTGCCGTGGCGTGAGCCCGACAGGACAGGAAGGTGGTGCAGCTCTGCCCCACCCGTTTTGGGAGGGAGAGATGTGGGTCTGTGAACGCCGCCCGAGGGACATCTGAGTCAGACCCTCCCTGATGACGCAAGGCTCCAAGGGGCTTAAAAAAAATAAACATGCAATGGCTTGGTCAAGCAGCTAATGGTCAAGCTAAGAGTCCAAATTTAGATCCCACCAAGTTCAAAGGGGGTGCTAAAACGCTCTGGGGACACACCCCACTTATAGAGGTTCTACGTGTGGTGCCAAGAGGAGCCGCTGTCCAGACCCAATGGGCAGGGGCAGCCGGGCCTTGGAAGGAGGGAGGGACTGGCTGCTGTCCGCAAAGCTGCTGAAGGACAGGCAAAGTTTCCTTCACAAACTCACCTCCTAAGGAGTCCCTCCTAAGTACCATCCTCCATCCTCGACTGTCCAGATACATGCAAGGCAGACATCATCGAGCCCCTGTAGTGGCTGCAGAAGCTGAGACCCAGGCAGGTTTGGTCACATGCCCGAGCCTCGGACGAGGTGGAGCTGAAATTCAGACATCGTCTGTCTCACTCGAGCCCTCTGTGTTCCTCCCTGGCTCTGTGACTTTCTCAGGGAAGGTGCCCGGATCTTGGGGGCCTGCACCCCGAGCCCTGAGCAGCCCCCACCTACCTGCTGCCCCGTGGTGTCTGAGGACTGGGAAGCGTTCTGGCCGCTGCAGCACTTTTGGGCTGTCTGAGGAGAGGCCTGGGTGGGTGGCCGGAGCTCCTGGTTGCGGATGCCAACTAAAACAAACCTGGAGTTGCTGGGGCTTCACTAGTTTGTTTGTGTAAGAAGGGTGAGTCCCCAACAGGAATATTTTTATCCTCGTCAAGAGGGGAGAATCAGGGCTTCGGGAGGAGGCTCCAAGACCTGCCCTGGGGCCTGCCTGTGCCATGAGGGGACAAAGGCTTCCTTCTGTGCCCGCTGAGCGAGGGCCACACAACTCCCGAAGCCCAGCGCCCTCCAGGGCAGGCCAGGGGGCAGCTCATCCGGATCCGGGCACCTGGCACTCTCCCCACGGGCTGGTTGGTCGGATCCCTGTGGGGCAAGTACATGCAGAGGAGCCTGGTTTCAAAGAACCCCAAGGAAATAGCAAATTTATGGCCCTTAGAACAACAGGCTGTCAAACACTGCCGAGTAACCTAGGAAGCATCTCCTGCTTTACTGTAAAGAACCGTGGCTTGTGAAAGCTGTTCAAATAAATGCAAATAACTGGTGGAAACAGCTAACAAAGTCCGTCCTTTTCCAACATCATACAGCATCACCTTGATTAATGAGAACCCGAAATAACTGAGGTTTATTTTTGAACTCAGCCTCTTGGGTAAAGAAGCAAATGAAAACAAAGCTCACGTCGGGGGTTTATTTTAAACAGCAATTTCCAAGAAACATCCTGGGGTCACCACGCGTTCAGTCCAGCTCTCTCCCCTAGTGTCCCCCCGAGAGGAACGGAGACCATCCAAGGTATGCGCCGAGTCACTGATCACCCCCGCTTCCTAGGGCTGCATGGGGACCACTCCCACCCGGTGCCCACAGCGGGTCCCGTCCCGTCTTGTGCCCTGACTCGACCCCACGTTCTCACAAAATTAACCAGAATTAAATCAGCCAGGTGCCACAAGGGAGGCCACTCCAAATGCCTACCACCCGGCACTGTCACGAACACGCTTTGGTTGTGTTGAAACTGGGCCAGGCCCAGCGTCACTGGCTCCGCCAAACTCTCCCATCCTGTTCCTGCCACACAGGCCACTGCGTTCCCAACTTGACCCTGGTCCTCTGCATCTGCCTCTCCACGGTCGCCTGGTGCTCTGGGTGCCGCCTGCTCTTGTTTATGGCATTTACCACAAGCATGTGTCTATAATGGGCCTCCCGCAGCAGTCTGTGGCCCGGGGGTAGGGGGGAGAGGGGAGGAATGAGGATGTTGTGTTTTGTTCGTCTCCAACTCACCTGTCACAAGGACAAAGGTGGCCGAGCACAGTGACGGCTCCTGGGCAGCGTCCGGTCAGCTGAAGCCGACTCCCTCCTCAGTCAGGCTTTTAGTGACAAAAGGCGATTTACTTTTCACTGTAGCTTCCAACACCTGTCTAAAGGAAGGGCTCAATTTCAAACGCAGCGGAACTGTCCATTGTTAGTGGGCCGGCCCCTTTCATCCTGAGGGACTGTGCTAGCCGGGCTCAATCTGCGCCGGGGACAGCTGGGCAGGCCTCACAGAGCTAAGCTGCCACCTGGCTCCCAGGGCTCGTCCCTCTCCGTGTTCTGCCCAGCCATGGCCACGCCCCGGGAGAAGCTCGGCCTCAGTGACAGGCCCGTTGCCCTCCTTCCCTTAGAGGAGGTGGCATAGGAACTGGGGGACGGAGCTGCTTGGCCAGAGGCCCAGGAAGAAGAGGCAAGGTCGTCTGTGCAGAGAACGCACCGGGCAGGGGCGCTGAGCGTGCATGTAGGAAGAAGTGGGAAGGGACAAACATGCAAAGGCGACTGGGCCGCCTTCCACCCATGCCCCTCTGGATGGCCTGTGGCAGGCCCCACGGGGTAGTGAGGGCAGGCCCCTTTACTAAATGGGCAAGGCAGGGGCAGCAGCTGTCCTGGGTGAGCCCCCAACTCCTCTGTCAGGACAACTGAGGCCCAGCTGCCCCTCAAGTCCTCCAACAGAGCTGAGGCCCGCGGGGCCCTGCGTGGGAGGCACTGACCAGGACATGGAGCGTCGCCTCTGCATCCCTGCGCTCTTCCAGCCTGTCTGCGTCACCTGGAAGCAGTTGTTTTATGTGAGGCTCCTGATGGCACAACCCAACGTTTGTCCTGGACTCCGAGCAGGAACTATCCCTAAAGAGGCAAAGGAGAACCCCCCGCAGGCACATCCCCTCCTCTGCCCTGGTGGCAGAGCCCAGGCCCCCAAAGCATTAGCCCCACGACAGGCCTCTCCCGAGATTAACAACTCTGCCCTAATCAAATAAGCTTAAATCATGCAATTGTACCGCATTGTTCTTATTTTTAAAAGTCCAGTCCACGTGGAAATATACCTAAATGTAGGCATCTTAGCCCTGAGATTATAGATGACTTTGATACACAGAATTCTGTGTTATTCAGATTTTCTATAATGCCTATATATTTTCACTCTCAAAATTAATGCTATAAACCCAAATTAAGGAAAAAGTCTTAAGAGGATAAAA